TCCGAAAAAGAATTGTGAGAAGAAGGTAAGAAACTATCACTTCTTGCATGGAAACTAACCTGTTACCAATTTTTAGTAACAATTAACCTTCATTAAATGTTCTTTGCGCTGTTTTCGTTGTTTGCAATTAATAAATGCTTTACCCATTCCGGGCAAAAATTTGTTTATGATAAAAAAAAAATGTTTCAAAACGAAATATCAATTTTTGACCCCTTTTAAGTTACCTTATTTCATTTTCGCTTTTTTAAAATGCTCGGTACTTTCAACGTTTTTCAGTTCTGTGTGAGCGTTCTTTGGGTAATAACATCATGTAAAACAATTTGTGAAAACTCAATGCTCCTATAAGACCCGCTTTGTTTTGGGGACTGTGAAATGCCAGGTTCTCTTGGTCCTAACATCCATGTTTGGATGCCCTTAAACAGTTTAGTCACGTTATTCGTGATGAGCCGGGGTAAATACTGAAGACAAATGATTCAGTAGGCTACACTGATATCATAGTTTGTTTAATTTTATTAAGAGTACATGTATATGGCGCTACAAATTTAAGACAAATCCGATCTAAACTAAAGGTTGAAGAAAAGTGAATAGGTTTCTGTCAAACACTCTTCATTCCAGAGTGTTCCTCTGTTTCTAAATAATGAAGGAAGTGATTATCTAAACACAGTATTATTGGAGAGCTTATGCCTACCATTCTAGATTTTTTCCTTTGGAGTATTACAATAAAACGGGTTGATGAATGATCTTGTACCGGTAACTTGTGTCAAAGAAGAGCTAGAGTCCAGTCTGACTAGAGCCACCCCAACTATTTCACTTCGTTCTGTGCATTATCATCTAAAAATGTGAATTTAAATTTTTCGGGTCAAAACTATTTATAGGTATATTAATTTTTCAAAACGATTTCCTTGCTTTAATGAAGTATATATCGTAATTCATGATTATCTTGATAAGGCCATGGAAAATCTTGTGTTTACTAAAGAGCTTAATTTACCTGACTTTACGTACGGTCATCTTTTTTTCAGCATGTTCTGCTGGTGCGGTGTAAGGGATTCTGCAATAAGTCCAAGACAGAGCCACGAGTGACCTTTAGCCCGGTCCTGTACCGCCCCTTTAACTACCACTGCAAGTGTTGCCGAGACTCCCTGTCCATTATGAAAGCTATCCGACTGAATTGTGAGGGCGGTCAGTCGGTGTTTGCTACATACCGATACATCATCAGGTGCAAATGCAGAAACTGTAACTTCAGCAGGTGGTAGTCCAGTTATCTGTGATATAAGCTTCGCTTTTGTCGTTAGAGAAGAGCGTGGACAACATATTGTGACGTCACAAAATGGTGTCCTTTATGACGTGAAAGGTTGTGACAGGTGCTTTTACGGTGCCATTTGTTGGATGTTTCTTAAGTTTGTGATGTATTTAAAAAAGCATGAAAGTTAGTACGGGTCATAAATGCATTTTTCTGGACTTTTTGCAAAGTGATGAAAACGTTGGGGGAAAATCCAAAATATTGAAGGCGGACAGAACTTTGTTATAATGAAAGGAGTGTGCTATTAAAGATAATCTTCGCAATCTTTGTCCATTTTTTATCCTATAGTACAATTCTCAGTTAACCTTGGACTTTCAGTAAGGCGTGGTATTCCCGACGTTACATAATTAGCGTCTGAATTTACACAGCTTTTCATTCACTGTTGAAATGTACATGGGATAGAAATGCGGGCGAATGCCAAAAAGTGTACCAATTATCCAATGACAGCGTTTCGTATGGCAAAGAGGTGGCGCCATTTTAGAGACGTTATAATTACGTAGCGTCGAGAATGCGACGCCTTACTGAAAGTCAAAGGATGACAGAGAATTGCACTATCTGCTATTACATGTACTATATACCGCCAAATATTGACTTTGTTTTTAAAAATACTTCTGTTTAGAAAAAACAATATGAATCCAGGTTTGGCCTCAGTGCAACGAACGGTCCCCTCAGAAACAATTTGTTCCTCTCAGTTTTGGCTGATGACAAAGCTAGAGCTGTTGATTGATAAGACCAAAGAGAAGCAAAACTAAAATCTAAACTTCAACATATTTTGACTTTTGTAAAAAAAAAAAATAGTTAAGGATATACGATCCTCAGCCAGGAAGGATAACTCTTTAATTTATAATTTAATTCAAAAAGTCTTAAAATAAAGCTTGAAATTGAAATTTTTTCATGCAACAATTTTCATATTATGCCTCTACGTATGATTCAATGTTCTTTAAAGTTTTAAGAAACGGTATTAAAAATTTTGACATTTGTACCTCATAAAATTACATAACCCTTGCATATTTAAAAAGAATCAAATTTCTTTTAATTTAGCCTTAGTTACCAATGTTTATAAGCATGATTTGAAATAAGAAGTGATTTACGGTGTTTTCTTTGAAAGGAAACACTTCATACACTATGCATTATGAAACGATGGAAGTACGTAGGAGATAGTAAAGTACTAAATAAGTGTAAAATTCATGCAATTTTCTTTAAAAGCCTGGATACCTATGATTTTTATTCCTAAAATGTATTTCTTGATCAATTATCAATTAAAATATATGCAGTATATAGTTCAAATCGCATTTCCTGAAAAAAATATTTGAGATTTACTAATTTTCCCTATATAATATGATTAAATCTAAAGATGATGTTTAAAGAAACACCGTGGGTAAATACATTTTAATTTTAGAATTTAGAGACATCTTTGTGAGCATTTTCAATTACTCAATGCTTGATTTTCAGAACCTGAGGATCGGATAACCTTAAAAACATACCTGACAGAAATGTAAATTTTTTTAGTAATTTTCGAAATACCGGAAGTGACGTTGCTCGAAATTCCACATCGTTTGGAATCCGCGACCTAGGACACTTACGTGCCAGTCAGATCCGTTAACTTCTGGCAGCGGGTAATCAGATTTAATGTCAGACTTCACACAGCAAGACAATAAATGTCGACTTACAATTGGCAGAAGAACCCCCTCAATATTATAACGCGTGTCAAACTATACCCTTAACGATACAGAAACAAAAAAGTCATTAAACTTATCTTGTGAAAGTCGAGCCAAGGCTTGGAAGATGGTTTATGATCCTGAAAAATTCATTCACCCTAGAATTATATTTGATTTCTTATATTCATAAAAAACATCATGCTTTATTTCTCAACAGTATACGCCGTGAAACGGTTTATCTTTGAGCGTTTTTTATGTATCTGTTATATCAAATGAGCTTTCTTATCGCAACCGAATTGTCATAAAAATACACTAAATTGACTTGTTTATAAAGTGTCAGAAATTTGTCATTTTCAGAATGTTATTTTCCAGTCCTGTAATGCATTTATATTTAAAATATTGTATAGATATGGAGAGCTGGGATTAAATCTGACACTAGAAGTGGCACTTTTAAAGTACACGTTAAGAATTGTTCGTGATGTCATAGTATGTAAATGTTTAACAATTAAAGTTGAACCAAATTAAATAATTTAGAAAGGATAACGAAAAACACTTGAATTAAATCTATGCGAGTAATGTACAGTAAAACAAGGTTCCACTGAATCTTAGTAATGAGCAAAGTGATTTCCGTTCCTATATTTTTTGGAGAAAAAAAACAAGGGCTCCGCAAAGTGGAGTATACCCTCGCAAGGAGCATATATCTTTAATTTAAGACAGCGTTCGCACAGCCACTTGTTTCGTATACGGAACACCCTTACTTATTTTGAGTAGGTGTTCCGTATACGAAATACCTGAACAGAAATAAGTGCCTGTGAGCAATCGACATCGATCCCAATGCAGATTACGTCACTTCCCTTTCGTACAGGACTACGTCGATCACCCACAAACAAACACACACACATCCTTAAAAACTGTTCTATTATTAACTGTAACTCGCGAGGGGAAAATAATAAATCTATTCGATAAAGAGAACTATGCTTATTACGAATCAAGTTAATCGCAGGTGGATCCCTTAAAGTGTGTTTTACTCATCCAAGTCTGCCAGTCAAGTATGAAGTGTGCATATAGTAATAAAATCAGTGCTAGGGGTCCATCTTCGCTAGCCAATGGTGACAATCCACGGTGTTTCTCTATTCAGAAACACCGTGGATCGTCACCCTTGGCTAGCGAAGATGCTAGGGGTCCTGAGTCAACCATCCAATCAAGACCCCTGGCACTGCCAAGATGATATAAAACTTACATGAGCAATAAGTCATTGTTTCCTCTGGACTGAGATTGACTCTAGAAAACGTGTCACCATGCGGCAAAAAAGTTCATGATGTGAGCTGAAAATATTGATGAATGTACTTTGGTTGATCCAAAAGAAATGTCTCAATTGCTATAAATCTTTAATAGTAAAATGGAGGGACTTTGAGCACTGAGCTCACTAAATGTTAACTACCCCCCCCCCCCCCTGCGTTCCATATGATTTAATATATACAGTAATGGCAAAGTTCATGTTTTGCTCTGGGAGACCCCAGAAAAATGTCAGATCAAAAAGCAAAAGAAGAGGTGCAAATTAAAATGATATTTAAGGAAAAGGTCAAAATAAATAGGGGGAATGTATATATAACTTTTGATTAGTAAAGAATTTAATAGCATTTGTGACATTCCATGTACTTTTGTATCAACCCTCTGTGATTCACTAGAGGACAGTAGAGGTTCACTATGGTACACTTGAGAGTTGTAACGTCTTTAGAGATCTGTGTCATGAAGACAAAAACTGTGCCATAGTGATGCTCTGACTTCTTATATTATTGTCTTTATTTTATTTTTTCAAATTTCCATTCCCAGCAGTGATTCCTCTAGAGATGTTTATTTAATTTTATTATGGATACAGAGGGAAAATGAGGAGTGTTTTAAAATATATGTATAGCATATTCATAATCAATTAATCGCATATCAAACACATAGGGGAAAAAAACCTATAAGAAAAACAGACTAAGAAATGAATAAATACAGTAATGTACACAGTTTTCCATAGGTAAAAAAATAGGAATATGTGTAGAAGTATAACATTTAATTAATAAATACTTTTGAGCATTAGAAGACTCTACAACTTTCATTCAGTTAAATTGACAGCATACAAAGTATCACATATATACAACTTCTAACAATCAAGTTCGTGTTTCATTTACCTGCTCATGAATGTGTAAAACAATGACAACATGATAATCTTTACGACCACATACATACAATGTCATGGTAATGTCTTGATATCAGCCAGGAAACACAAGATCCCCGTTTACAGGCCTAAAACCTTCAGGATCTTCCCATTCTATTCAGTTTTTATGAATGTATATATCCCCAATAATCTGTGGCTAGAAAAACACAACACAACATACTTCGGATGAAGTTTCTCTGTGGTTGGAGAATTCTTTGCGCTGTAACATTATCATGGATTCCCCTTCCTTATGAAGGATTATCATAATCTTCGTCTTCCATTTTACGCTTGAGCGGGTTTGATGACTGTCCACTGATGAGGGACGTGGTGGTACTCTGGAGGGGCTGGAACTGTATAGTGGGCTGAGGGGCAGGGGGATGACCCCCAGACATCGGAACTGTGTGTTGGAATGTACGAGTCTGATTCAGCGAGTTCAATGATGGACCTACAGAGCATAAAGATAGAAATTCTCAATTTCACAACAGTATAAAACATTTTCAGTAAACGAATAAAAACTTGCATTGTATAAATACTGTTAAGATTCAAAATACAATGTATCTTATATAAGGACAGGTACTTCCATAAATTTAGGTTTTACTTTACAAGGCTTTTCTACATATCATACATTGCATATGTACTTTGAAAGCTTGAAAATCCTCAAAAACATCTTGCAGAGGAGTCGGATACACACCTGTAGATATCCGTATGGCTGGCTTTGGTACTGGATGATGCTGACCAGATGGTTTGGTAACTATGGTAACAGCGGGAACAGTCATCCCGGGTTTGGTCACTACAGTGAGATGTGGACCCCCAGGGCCAAGTTTTCCTGGTAATAAAATCAGTCACAATCAGTACACACATGTACTAGGTAATGTGAGATAACTCTTAGATAGGATACAAAAAGTTTGTATGAGGAGAAAATGCTGATGAGATGTTGATACCAGAAACAATCTTTTGAATTGGGTCAAAGGTCATTTTTTTCTGACATAATCTGGATTGGGTTCTTCACCTTTGTTAATGACACATGATTCAGGTTGATTTTTTTACTCAACTGTTGAAAACGAGAAGTTCAAGTGAGTTCTTTACCTAGCTGACATCATCAACATTTGGTTAAAATCTATTTTTAACTTACCTGTTGCCAATTCTCATTGATCCTTTACTCACCTGGTGTCATTGACATCTGGTTCAGATTGATTCTCTGCTGGAACTGTGGCAGACCGATCTGTATTCTTGCCTGATGCTGGGGTCAAAATTAATTCATAAATGTAGTGTGCATTCAAATATATACATGTACTGTAATACTTGTCTAATGAATGTCTTTGATAGCTTCCTTTCAAAAAAAAAAATTCAGGTAACAAATGAACACACGCTATACATGTGATATAAAGATAAAGAAACAACTAAACCTATATTTTTTAAAAAACATTTTATGTATTTATTAATTATTTCAATTCCTTTTTGGCAAAACAAATGCAATGAATAGAAATCAACAAGATTCAAATATTCTTGAAGATGAGAAGTACAGCACACCTTTTTGACTGCTTTATGGCTGCTCATTTTGTAATTCGGGGCAGACAGACAATATCTATCTGGAGGTAGTCGCAGTCCAGTGTACGTCTTAATGAGAGGTAAAACTTGTCCATTCTTATGTTTAGAAATCTCCATCAGCAGCTGAAAAGAGAGTCAAGGCTGAGAAGTGAGGCACTTAATTAATGAAACTACATTTTCTTTTAATATGAACATGATGAATAAATACACTTCATATGTACATTAGAAACAATTTCAAAAAGAAATCTAAAACAAGCTTTTATCGTTTTTTTTTCTTTCCTTGATGAAAATCTAGCTTTATACAGGTTGGGACAAGTAAAATCATCACAAAATGAGTTATTCACTCTCATTTCCTAATGATCTCATCCTGTTAAAGTTACCACCAAAAACAAAAAATAAAGAATTGTTGCTTGTGTCTTACGTCTCTGGGGGGTGGACTTGTGAAGGAGTGATCCATACGACACTGAACAGCCAATTTTATGTCCTCTGCATCCAGAGATTTCTTGTTGGCATGGTTCGAGTACACTTTTGCATCCTCCAATATGTCTGTTACATAACCTATTAAGAAGAGAAATATACTGAATCCAACTGAAGGCGAAGCACAGAAAATCATAACAATCAATTTTTAAGTGAAAGCATAGTAGTTCCCTGACCCGTTTTAACATCTTAAGCATGTTAAGGAAAAAAATCTTTTATTCTATAATTTTTTAAGCAGCCTTAGGCAGAAAAGGGATAAATGGAATATCTCGCAATTACATTTAAAACTGTTTTGATCCTTGACAGAGAAATATATATTTTTTTTTTTACATTTAACAGGTCCAGTCCAAAGACTATTTCTACCTACGTAGGTATTAATAGCTACCTAGGTATTTAAAGCTACCCAAAGTAGCTATTTTTACCTACTTTGTGCTTTACTTGCATTTTGTGGCCAAATGCAGGAACGGCGCAACATGGTGAGCACACAATTTCTTGATACAGTCACACTGAAGATGAATATGACAAAAATTTGGCCAAAAATTGAAAACTTCGTATATTATCAATTTTGCATAGAAACTAATGTAAAATTGCCGATTCAGGAAGTAATCATTTTTTGGTTAAAATTTTGTCGTATTTATCATTAGTGTGACCGTATAAAAATATATGGTATTTACCATGTTGCGCCGTTTGGTCTTTTGGTCGCAAAATGCAGAAATTATATAAAGTAGGTAAAAATAGCTACTTTTGGTAGCTTTAAATACCTAGGTAGCTATTAATAGCTACGTAGGTAGAAATAGTCTTTGGACTGGACCTGTTTAATGATTTTATTCACATGTTTTAAAACACTTACAAAAAAGTAGTTACTACACACAGATTTGAACTTTAAAATAAAATATGCAGGGATTAAAATATTGCTAACGACTCGGGTCAATTGTCGTAATGTATTTACAAAAGGCTGCATCATTATTTTTATTCAAATATTTGAAACTAAGACTCAGTAAGAGTAAGACTAAGCCCAAAAGGATGTCGATTATAACATGATTAATGATTTGGTTGAAAACCCCAGCATTACAAACTGAAAACATGATCTTACGGTAAACAAACTCCAACATAACATTCACGACTCTAGGTTCGTATTCAGTAACACCCATTTCTTTTAAAATTGCACCCATAACTTGTGCATCTCGTGGAGAACTCTTCGCTGGAGACGCCATTTTATTTGATTTTTGAAAAGAGAATGTCGAACCCGAGGAATATAATGAATTTTCTTTTAACCACTTGACAAATGCATATTTTCACCATTCTCATCAGACGATTAAAAAGAAATAATGACAAAGATGATCTTAAAAAATATATAAAATCTTAGCACAATCTTTGTTGGTTTACAAGTACTGCAATAATGGGTGTTATTATTTTTTTTTTTAAACATAAGAGTTGTTTTATCGATTTTTTTAGGAGTCAGCTAGAGAGGGTACGGATTGGAATGCAATCAAAATATGTATGTTCATAGCTATTTCACCCTTTCTTTAAAATTAAAAATAGAAAAAAATGCAATTGATGTGTAAAATGCTAAGAGGCTTTAAGAACTGTGATTATACTTTTTTATAAAAAAAATTATTATATGAAATCTTTTAGTATATCGTCTCATGAACTATGATGAAGATAGATTGTCTTATTAACCAACTAAAGGGGCACGGGTCTCAAATCACTCAGTAATTCTGCCAATTTCTACCGGTGTATAGGAAATATAGAAAATATAGCTAGTTTATTTTTATGTCGAAATAACTGAAGTCCTTATAATTGAAGGTTGTAAGGAGATAACTTAATTAATATTCTATGAGATAATCCGAAATATCCGACGTTCTCCAGGCTTTTTTTTTTACGACTTTGATAGGTATTAGAGATTTTTTTTCTTCCTAAATCAATTCTCTTTTTTATTGGAAAAAAGCGACAGAGGGCGGGGGTGGGGGTGTTCTTAGGCGCATTTCGGGAGGGGAATATTATTATGTATATACATTTATTTAAAGAAACAAAGGAATTCCGGACCATTCGATCTCCCGATCCTTCACCGGGTAAATCTGTTAAATTCTTGTATTGAATTTTATAAGAGAAAAATACATTAAAACCTACTACACCCGAAGACCAAGTGTCTTCAAATTGGTATAGTTACTAAAGGCACAGAATGTAAAAGAATTATGTAATCTAGGAAAATTTTTGAAATTAGCGAGTGCATCAAGAACAGTACGTGACTTCAACTGATTTATAAATTACCGAAAATATTATATATGATTTGTACATGTTAAATTTTTATAATTCATCATTATATCTCCCACGGTTTGGGTTTGTTTTTTGATATTAACATATAGTATACCCGATATATGTTCAAATGTATGATAGTAAATATTGTCTCTGAGATCTATGCTTCTTGACTTCAATAAACTGAAATAAGAAATGTCTGAATGAATTTTATTTACAAAGAGTCAAAAGGACCTGACGTTCACAAGTTCAGAAATTTATATATAAATTTATATAAAGTTTTACTTTTACTTTTAATTTTATTTTAACAAATTATCAGTTTGTTTTCATAATTAATTTACAAATGATAATAATTATAACAAGTTATCAATACGTTTAAACAAATTAGTAATTCGAGGCTTTAATGTGAATAGTTACAAATCTGATCTCGATCAGTATATATTGTAAAAAAAAAATGTAATTTAAATTTCTCTCTCTCTCTCTCTCTCTCTCTCTCTCTCTCTCTCTCGACCACTTATGTAGATTCAAGAGAAAAAAATATCCTGAGGTATGTTGGTAATTTTAGATCCGCCTCCTCTTACACACTGGCATACAAAAATTAAAAACATTTCACAATGTGTGTGTCGCAGTGATTCATTTAACAGCTAGGCCACTGTGCAGCCATGCTATGACAAAATCTAATGACGCCAGGGACAAGACGATGTTGTGAAATGTCCTCCAGCCACCACTTATCTACAAGATTCTGAGGTAAGGAGGTTTTTCTTTCGATCATCTGCCGTGTCTGAAACGTACCCTCCCGCGATTGTCCTAAAATTGGGGTCACTCGACTACCACCGTGTTTATCAACCCAACAGCGCAGTGTACATGTATGTATATGTACAGTGTAAATTAAAAGTCTACTGTTTATAGTCTGTACGACGTAATCTACCTTTTGTTTGATTAGGAGTGTGATCGCTACAATGTAAATATTGCCCCAATATAGAAAGTTTTCTCTTGTAGAGGAGAAATGAAAAAAAAAATGACACAATAATTAAATTGTGTAAAGAGAAAGGGGTCGAGATGAGTGTCTCAGTCAAGTGTTTGTACAAGTATATTCTACGTATATACCCATTCATTCGACTTTTCACAATCCCAAAATGATTTGAACAATCTATTTCTTCTAATCATAAAAATATCTTGACGTTTTCTCGGTTCAATGGACTTGAAAACTTAAAAGAGACGCGCTTAGACTGCACAAAGAACTGGGCGCTTGCTCTACATGCTGTATATATAGGGGACACAGAGGGTATTTCTGACATTAATTAAACTGCTCCGAATCAAGATATCTACAGAGAAGAATGGCAGGTTTGTCGATGCCCCGTAATGATATCTTGTATGACTTTATTTACAGAAGTAAAGGTCCCCGTCAGGTGTAATAATGACACACAGGTGTTTCTCAGTGTTTTCTCTGGTGATAATCAGCTGTTTTTATGCAGGTATGTGGTTTTCTGTTTATTTCTTCTCTCTCTCTCTCTCTCTCTCTCTCCACATACGAATGTGTCAGAATGAATCAGAATGAATTCATTAAAGTATATATGATTTCAAAATTCTGTCAAAATATTAATTCCAATAAACTGTTTTGAAAATTCAATTAACACTTGTATGTATTTAATTTTGACAAGATGACAATAGGATTGGCGTATTTCTGTAATTTATTGACTGGGGGAAAAGAGAATTGTATTGTTAATTTTTTTTCTTATAAACAACTAGCTAAAGCTTTCACTGTTTAAAATTGAAAATAAAGGGGGGGGGGGTATAAGTTCATCTTTATTGAAACAAGATTTTGTAAATCTGAATCAGATTATAATTTTAGGATATACCCATAATCATGTATATTTATTTCTTCGTTGATTTTCAACCACCCGCATGTAAAAAAAAAACCAAAAAAAAACCCACTAAATGATAAAAAGTTGCCTTTAGCATATAACTATTGTAGAAAGGCTAATTTATAGATACTATGTCTATCCCATATAGATACATATCGGTACCTATATATAAAATACATCCATAATATTACGTGTTTAATGGGACTCGTACCCATTAAATATGTACAATAAATAAAGCTTTGTTAAAACGATTGAATTAAAATTCCTCAGCACAGAACAGGTCCTGCAGAACGCGTTTAATTCTGTCCTTGGGGTCCAAAGACAACAAAGGCTCCACTCCGGGGAGAACTTGTCTAAATATTGCGTATTGTTACAGGATGAATTTAAAAACAGTCTATCACAAGATGAAAAAAGTATTGAAAGAGTAAAAGATAACGTTTTTGTCGTTGATAAAAATGTCCACATTTTTAAAATTTTTATAGGTTGCTCAAAAGTCATTCAAAATCCCAGACACGACTTTTTTTCCTTCGTCGATGAATCGAAAATATATAATACAAACTAGAATTTCGATTTAAAATGTCATTGTCAAAAATCTTAAAACTTTGGAATTTTTAAAATGATAACTGTATAACATATGTATTTTACATCTAAAACTCACAACAATAAAATCTGACATAAATCGCGTTTCGCGTTTGTTATATAGAATTTAAGAATGTGTAATGCAAGATCAAAAATAATTAAATTCCATACATTTCTTTCTATTCATATATTATTATAATTATTGAATTATATTACATGTATCATAATTGCTATTATACAAGATGCTGTACAAGCTGTAAATTTATATGCAATGTTTATTTTTAAAAAAGAAAGAAACAAGCTTAAGAAAGAAAGACTTAATTATTAATTAAAAGTTTTTATAGATTACAAAACGACAGTAAAATTTGTCCTTTAGAATAGGATATACCGTAATTCAAGATTTTTTTAATACAAGTGATTCAAGTTTAAAAGGTAAATTGACCGTCTGATAAGAGAGACAACACAAAAGCGGCTTTCATTCCTTAATAAAATGCCAACCTCATATTAAGGCAATTTCAGTCAATTTTTTCACGATGCATATGCTGCAATAATGTGCATTTAAATTACACGTATAATGAGAATTTAAATAAAATGATTGGTTTAATTGTAAATTTATATAAAGGGCATTGGGTGGTATACATGTATACGAGCGGACAGAGTATCTATTAGATGAACCTTAACAATATTAATATTTTATCTCGTTCCTCTGTCAGTGGTGTCCCCTGAGCAGAAAACTTCCACCTGGAGCGGGTGGTCAGGGTGGACGTCATGCTCGGTCACGTGCGGTTACGGTCTGATATACAGGGAAGCTTACTGGATCGACAAGAATGGACAGAGGACAAACAAGACAACTCACGATAACCAGGGGTGTTACATCCCCAAATCCTGCCCCGGTAAGTTACAGACAACTCAAGATAACATGGGGTGTTACATCCCCAAATCCTGTCCCGGTAAGTTACACAACGCACGATAACATGGGGTATTACATCCCTAAATCCTGTCTCGGTAAGTTACACAACGCACGATAACATGGGGTGTTACATCCCTAAATCCTGTCCCGGTAAGTTACACAACGCACGATAACATGGGGTGTTACATCCCTAAATCCTGTCCCGGTAAGCTACAAACAACGCACGATAACATGGGGCGTTACATCCCTAAATCCTGTTCTGGTAAGTTACACACGATAACATGGGATGTTACATCCCTAAATCATGTCCTGGTAATTCATAAGTAACATCACAAAGACTTGGTAAATTACAAACAACACAAGATAACATGGGATGTTACATCCCTAAATCCTGCCCCGGTAAGTTACAGACAACACACGATAACATGAGATGTTACATCCCTAAATCCTACCCTAATAAGCTACATCGCAAAGCCTTGAAAAGTTATAGATAACACACGCTCATGGAGTATTACATCTCCAAGTACTGCTATGGTAAGTTACATCCAAAACATTTGATAAGGTACAGACAACACAGGATATTCTGGAATCTTTTTTTTAGTGAACACTATATATACATGTAATTATTCAATAAATATATTTATTACTTCGATACTTGTAACTGTTACATTTTCTTTCATGTTGTTCCCTGCATGATCATACTGTAATGGCAATTGATTATGTATATTAACACTGTGGGATACTATTTTAACCAATCAGTTGGCGTGTTTCAGTGGACGGTAACTGGACCACGTGGTCGGGGTGGTACTGGTGTTCCTCGATCTGCGGACCTGGGCGCCAGGAGAGATACCGCTACTGCGTCAACCCAAAACCCGCCTACGGGGGAATGCCCTGCTCGGGCCTGGCGAATGAGAGCAGAGCTTGTGAAGTACAACCATGTCCTAGTAAGTAGATACATATACAGTGGTCGTTTTAACGCCCAGGCAGTTAGATGGCCCTACATTACACAATGTGACCTTCATCCATGCTAGACAAGTGTTTCAGATCCATTCCTGCAGTCTTCGGACTGGATCATAAATTCAGCAAATACAATTTATCACTGAGTCAAATGCTGACTGACGTTTTTCATACCAATTGTTAGTTCATTATTTATACACTGAATTGACGACGGATTTTTACCGTTATTTCCTGATCATGACAAGGAGCACACAGCGGGTGTGAACGGTCGGCAGGGGATGCTCACTCCTCCATGGCACCTGATCCCACCTCTGATGTTCGGAGGTCCGTGGTTGCTCTGCTCCTATTTTGTATTGTTTAATGGACTTTGAGACTGAACACTGTTCGTTATCTCCATATCCTTATAGCGAGCGCAGCGAGCTCAATAGACTAACGTGTAAGAACAGAGGAAATTCGGAATGAAATCTGTACATACGTCAAGCAAATTTCTCTGTGAAACATTCCCAGAATTCCTTTACTACCCAATGTCCTTTGCGCGAATAAATCAATAAATAAATAAATAATAGCGTAAGGCATAAAAGGCTTTAAGTTTGTAGAAATCATTCAAAGAAACAAAAAAATAACTCTGCAATGTATTTCGACCAATATTGCACTAGGTCTATAGTTTAAACCAGACGCTCGGCTGTCTCCGTAAGCTCCGACGAGCTCCGTGACGTCATCTGACGTCACAGCTACAGTAGTCGAGATGTCTCGTGCGGCTTGATGTTTGAAGTGGCTGATCAAATTTTTCAAGTGTTTTTGATAGTACAACTGCGCTCGCCCCAACGGTTACACCATAAAACATATTATCGATATAGAAAAGTGAAGCACATCTGGCTGCTCATTTCAGTTTTTGTAAGGACTGACAAAAATTACTTAAGTAAGGGAAAGGTTAATTCCCCAGCGATCCCTTTCTTCCTTTCCAAAAGGAAAAATGTTCATTTCCCCCTCTAATATCTCTGAAGCCAATGAAATGGGTTTTTTTTCAATTGAAATTAAGAAAAAGGACAAATTTTTAAGGTTTTTTTTTTTGTAATTTTCAGCCATTCCTCCGTCCTTTAGTTTATCGGATTGTACAAAGGAGGACTTCATGTGTAACAGCAGACGACAGTGTGTTCCGGCTGCGCAGAAATGTGACAAAACGCTACAATGTCATGACGGAAGTGACGAATTGAATTGCAGATATGTCAACCATGGTAATATTTCGTGCATTTAGCAATATTTGTTATTGATAGAATTAGAAAACATAATTTCTCTTGAGTAATTAACAATCCTGTTTCTTTTTGCAGGTATCGTGAATGAAATATCAAAGACAATATATCATATATTTCTTGTACTATTTCTTTTACATGCAGCATAAATAAACTTGAAATATGAATAAATATGGAAACTGTAAAGGAGCTGAAAGAGAGAGGGATATATTTGGATGTAAAAACGTGTGAGGGTGTGTAGTTGAGGGTGTGTGTATTTGTTCTTATCCTGTTGACAAAAGGAGTGAAACACGAACATCATGCGAAAACTTTTTTGTAGATATTTCTTTAAAAAAGACATTTACTGGTATATTGTACTATTATTTCATGAACAAAGTTAGAAATGTTGTTAAATGCATATTGGATATAATATGGTTCTGCGTGTGTGAGAGAGTTGTACAAATGTGGTCACCACAAAACACGTAGATTCGTGTGTTTGCTTTTTTGAAATTTTGTAGTCAATATGAACTGTATTTGATGCGTTTTTCTCTTTGCATGGTGCTTTTTGAATATAGTTCAAGTTGTCTCATCATTTGTTATTATGCTTTGTAAACGTTGTGAACTTTTTAAAATTTATTTTTGTATATTTTTGCCTATATTTTTATGCAAATTAAAATATGTATATATTATAAGATTATTGTATTTTGATCATGAACTTTATTATATACCTAATGTGTATCACCCAATTTTACTGTTGAATTTACGCTATCACGTGACGTCGTGATCCGATTTTCCGGATCACCAACATGTTGTTTTCTGAATCCATATCACCACTCTCTGAAACTGATGACGTAGTACGCAGAAATATGACGTTATTTTTCTTGCGCGTTAAAAAGTCCCTTGTTATTATGCTTTGTTTAATGGATTAATATTATCCAATTTATCTTTAAAGGTTTATTTTAATATATTTAGCCAGTTATAAGTGTCAACGTCTCGTTGACAGTCGCGGATCATCAGATCAAACTCGACGCTTCACGTCTCGTTTGATCTGATGATCCGCGCCTGTCAACTCGACATGATACGACTCTTCGGATCAAGCTACTGTTATAATAATATTTACATTTCCAATAAATTTCTCCTATGATTCTTTACAAAATAAAATGCAGTATATTTTCTCATGAACTACATTAGGTATGTATCACGAATAAGCATGAATATATCCACTGTTACGTCATAATACCGCTCTTGTCGTCAAAAAGTCAAAAAATATAGTGCACACTGTTTTGTTTTAAAAATGACAGTTAAACGGCGTAAATTTATGGCAAGTCATCAGAAAAATAATGTAAATATAAGAAATGAATTTGATTTTTTGAAGATTTATGAGGTATATGAACTACAACGCTTCACGCCGGCATATTTATCATGAAGCGCTAACGCGCTTCATGAAATATGCCGGCATAAAGCATCGTAGTTCATAACCTCATGAATCTTCAAAAATTAAATTCATTTCTTAAATAATATTATATAGAGTTTATAGTGTGGGATACACAGCAGCTAGCATTATTACATATAACAAGGAAAAGTTGAAATATGTCAATATCCAGCACATGCGGCCATGGCGGACTGACGTCACAATTGGTGCAGAATTTGGAATTAATAACATTGTAAAGTAATACTTGTACAACTTGGACATTTAATTTCAATATTTAAAACATTATTACGACATCATCTTTGATTTGTTATTTAACTGAATATGTTCTATTTCTTTAAAGACTCAAAAAATGCAATAATAAATTTCCTGTAACCGTCCAATAAGTTTAAAATCAGTCCATTTATAAAAATAATAGTATTCTTAATGACTAACTGGACTTCTTCGGGTACGTTTATGGATTCATAATACAGAACAAAGATATAAATATCTTAAAGCATGCATTGAATCCAAATTTTCACAAAGTAATGAAACTTATTCCTAGTTACAGAAACCAAAACTGTAACTTTCCAATAAATGATCAAATCTATATTTCAACTCATAGTGAATGTTAAAATTTTTAAAAAATGATGAAAATATCTCGGATTTCTTTTAAGCGGTAACTTACTCCAACAACATCGATCACTAATGACTTTTTGGTACAGAATCAATCGTCTGTTCTTCTTTCTCACTAGCACTTCGATTGATTTTAACCCACTTTCTTCAGAAGCGCTTGGTTTTTCATATTAAAAGAACGCATGGGTGCTAATGGCTATTAGTCTTTAGCTCTTCACCCAATTTTGTTTTTCATCTTTGAACAGCAACAAAACAGTTTATTGTGATGTTGTTGATTCCTTTATTACTCAACAGCTTAAAGTCCTTATGCATAAAAAATCTATCAATGTTGGATACTGTTTATAACATTCTTTCTGTCAGTTGAACACAGGCACTGCACATTTATATTTCTGTTCCGTTTTCTAAGATAAACCTCTTCAAACTCTGCAAATCGTCAAAATATTATCAGTCTAATTTCGGAAATCTTTTACGTTTCTTTTTTTTTTTTTTTTTTTTGCATCTTTGAACTGCCTTGATCAAAAGTTGAGAAATATTGTGAGATGGGAGCTTGGAGGATGGAAGTTGATTGTTCATCATTATTATCTGGATTTGTTTTCCATCAGCTTTCTCCCTAGAAGAAGGTTAATTCCCGCTCTTTGAAGTCCTACTACATCCAGGCCCCCTGTTTTCCAAGTTCTGTTGATTTTGCTATCCGATGATCTTCCTCAGTGCGCCGAACTTCACCTTGAACCATGGTGCGTCTCTCTGATAATGCTGCTTTTGACTACTGCTGGAAGTGTGAAATTCCCACGCCCTGTCGCCCATGGCCAGTGCTTGTGTTTTCCAATCATATCTCGTGAGTATAGCATACTCTCTGCTTGATCCACTGATGTTTTGCGGAGTACTTTCTTCATGTTTTTGTCTGGATCCCTGCTCGTGCAACCCTGTCATCTGCTGAGTCACTAACGTCATTACCAAGCGGCATTTTGCTACCTTGAATTCTTCCACCACGGAGGAAACTGCTATGCGTAACTGGGTGAGTTGCTGTAGAGTCCAATCGATGTAAATGATGTTGGAACTCCTAGCCATCTCCTCAGATACCCACTAATTTTCCCTTCCATGGCTTCGACTGTAGTAGTTACAATTTCATATATGAGGAGCAGCCACATAAGTCTTAGTAGGACCCCGTGCTGATAGATCCATGCCTTATATTTTCCAGGTACGCCGCTTCCATTGACCCTTTTTTACCAAGCAAGGAGCTTCTTTGTGTCCTCGATGCTATCTTTATCTGTGGGGGATTCATTAAACCAGTTACTCTTTACCAGGATGTGGTGTAGTCATCCACAGTGAACCGGATCTGCATTCCCCGAAGTAGCTCTTGACAATCCCCTGAACCTTCTCTGGTATATGGTACCGCTTCATCTCCGACTCCAACAGCTTGTGGGGCACAGATCCATACGTGTTGGCTAGTTCTACCCACACTGCTGCAATTTTTTCTTGCCGTTTTTGGCGTCCTTGATGAGCTGACTTATGATACTTGTGTTTTCTAGGCATCAGGAGTACCCAGGTATGTCTGCCTTCTGAATAGAAGGATATATGTATCTATTCTCCACCATGTACCCTGATATTCGTTTGCTATAGTACTGACATGAACATTTTCACCTCCACATTTAGCAAACTTAAGATATTGTCCTAAACTGGTTGATTTTCCTCGAATTCTCCTCTTTCGGTACAAAACATCCCTCTGCCTCTTTCCAGCATTCTGTATCGTTCCTTTTTTTCAGATTACTCGAAAAAGTTGCCACAATCTTCTCAGTAACTTTAATTTGGGCACCTCTTATACACTATGTATAGTAGCCAATGTGGTCGCGGAACTGAGCCTGATCTTGCTCTCATGTCCACTTCTTTGAATTCCTTCCACGTAGGCTCTTTTACATTTATCTCAACCTCTGGTCGATCCACTATCACCTTATTAGGGCACTGACCCAGATTTAGGCATCAGTGATAAGGATAAATGTTTTAAATGAGTTCAAAGCATAATTCTGTACAGCTAGTATAGAAAATACATTGTACAATGTATACGGATATCTTCTACAAATCTGCTTAACAAAAGAACGGCCACAATTGACCAAACTGGCAGCAAATTTATATAATGAAAATTGAAGTTTGTACAATGTACATGTATAAGTTTCATTGTTTTAGATTGGTTTAAAAAAGTAGACAACAGTTTTATAAAGTGACTTATAGAGAAATACTTTAAAATTTTATCTACAGAACATAGTACAATATACCTCTCCCAAGATATTCTCAGTTTAAAATCATAGTACTACTATAAGATGCTGTCATACGAAAAATAGCATAAATTGATTACCACAAGTTGTCACCAGATATAAAATGATGGAAATCCATTTTTTAAAAAAGAAAAATCAGCATAGTTTTAGCTAGAATTTCCTATTGATTTGAGATACAGAGGCTGTTCAGCTTTGACATGCAAAACCAAATTGCCAGAAGGTCCTTCGACATGTTCGATTATTGGAACTTAATACAAGTGAAAAAAAGAATCAGGGGCATTAAGACCCTAAATATGCCCCAACCATAATGGACAAAATATCATAAATATTAAAAGAATTATGATTGAATCACACCTTTTTAGACATATTTTGATGAAAAAAACCACTATTAAGACATTTTGGGGTCAATACAAAAATAACACTATTTTCACTGATTTCTGGAAATTCTTAATAATTTTTTTCCCCTGTAAATATGATTAAAGAAATAAAAGATGGATGTTTAATACAAATACAACAGAAATGATCTTAAACATGTGAATAGAAACCATTTTTTTAGCTAAAAGTGGTGAAAAAACGGATTTTAATGTAAAACAGTTGTTTTTGTCCCCAGTTTTCGCGAAAGCGGGGGGACATTAAATCTTATTCATCTGTCTGTCAGTCTATGTCTGTCAGTCTGTCCGTCACAAAGACTTTAACCTTGCCCATAACTTTTGATTTAGTGGAGCTATGACTTTCATATTACACTTGTGTATTCCTTATTACAAGACCTTTCTTTGGGTACCACCAAATTTGACCTTTTGACCTTGACCTTTGAGTTTAATCCACTTTTACACAAAAATTCCAAACTTTACTTTGGCCATAACTTTTGAATAGTAGGTACTAGGACTTTCATATTTTACATATGTATTCTTTGTGGCAAGACCTTTCAATGGATACCAACAACTTTGACCTTTTGACCTTGACCATGGAGTTTCACGTACTTATGAAAAAACTTTAACCTTGACCATTACTTTTGAACGGTGAGGACTAAGGCTTTCATACTTCACATATGTAATCCTTGTAAAAAGACCTTCCATTGGATACCAACAACTTTTACCCCTTGACCTTGGACTTTTAACTACTTTTAACTACTTTTTAAACTTTAACCTTGGTCACAACTTTTAAACAGTAGATACTAGGACTTTTATTTTTCACATATGTATTCTTTGAGTCAAGACCTTTCATTGGATACCAACAACCTTTACCTTTTGACCTTGACCTTTGAGATTTACGTACTTATGAATAAACTTTAACCTTGACAATAGCTTTTGAAATGTGAGAGCTAGGGCTT